CCTATGACATTCTCTTCGATTACACTTCCGTCCTTTCAGCATACATTTCCAATGGAGAATTCTGATACGAACAGGAATTGTTCGAATATTCCTGATTGCAACAAAATCTGAGAATGACAGTTGACAGTTCCTACAATCAACAGGCCAGACAGGACTCGAACGACTGGAGGTATGCTCAAAATGGTCTGGATGTCATGATGATGTGTTTAAGAAATTGAATTGCCATTGTGACGTGTTAAATTTTTTGAATGAATCACAAATCGTAAATCCGTGATTAATCGTTAATCGATCATTCAGTGTGGTACATATTCGTACGCTAAGTGCTGTTAGAATGGAAAATAAATAAAATGATGATGTTCATTATAATCGTAATATTCATGGCACCAATATACAGGGTTACTGGTGATTCGATACATTATTTGGTGATGTAATAGGGGAGGCGGTAATGAGTGGATTCAACCCTAATATGGATCATGCAAAAGTTAATAGTTTTCGAGATACTTGTTGAATTTCTTCTGTTTATCTCCAAAAGGTAGACTTCTACTTCTCACGATTCTTTAGATGAACTTCGTTAATTGGTGAATACAGTGTGATTTTTATATCTCAAATGAATGTGAATTTCTTTCAGAAGCTGAACCTGGATCTGATAGAACAATTAATCATTCTCAAGTATAAGCTCCATACCAAATCTGAGATAAATTCACTGAGTAGTTTGATAGGTACTTGAAGACGAGTGGATAATCATTCGAAATGACTGTTTCAACGAATATGGTATTTTCAGAACCACCTTGGCGACACCTATTTGTGAACACTCTCTAAAAGTCAAAGATTCAACCCTGTCTCTTCAAACAAAAACTCTATCGACCTGATGATATACCGGGTGGTCCATTCAAGATTATCAACCATCGATATCTTCCAGAAGTAATGCTCTATAAAAAAATTACGAAACAGGACGATCTTCATATGGAGGGGGACACTTTTTGACGCGAAATAAGTAATCCATACTTCAACCCTCTACTCCCAAGAGCAACCCTCTCAATAATTAAAATAGGGAAAAAGGGTCGTGTTATCCATCATTGCAAAGGTAAATCAATTCTGGAACTAGCAGTGGAAAAGTTTTCTGAATTCCAACAAGTCGTTCTCGAGATATTCGAGTTCGACTGGTATGTTTCTCAATTGTGAGTGAATGAATGTAAATAACAGATTATTGAACAGGTATCCACAAAAGATGTTGAAAATGACCTCCATCGACTCCCAGATAATGGTAGAATATATTTTGGATTCTTTTCGCACATTTCAAAAGTTTCTCTAGTTTTGGCCTGGCATTCAACCCAAATTCTTCTCAACTTATCGTCCAGATCATAGTTGATTCCGTTTTATGAATAACGGATTTCGGATAACCCCAAAGAAAAAAAATCATTGGGTGATATGTCCGGCAAGAGTGCTGGTCATTTCAATGGTACTTCACGACCTATCTATTTGTCTGGGAAATTTGGGGGTAGCCATTCTCCCACCTGTAATACGGAATGAGGTGACACAGTATCTTTTTGGAAATGAATATAATCTGCCAATAGATTTCGATAACCATGATCATCAATATCTGTAGAGGATCAATAGAATGGACAGCACGTCTGCCGAACTCGGCACCCAATGATTTCTTTCTATACGGAGTGATATGAAATCCCTCATCTATACAACGAAACCCACTGACCTGAACGATGTGAAAGAAAAAATTAGTATCGAATTCCAGATGAATATCTTGAAATTTATCAGAAAACCAATGTATTGGAAATTGGAAAACCTATCAGTTTCTTTATTTAAGATATATCTTGGATCTTGTAGCGAAATTTCTTGAGACTGGATCAGTTGCCAATGAGAAGATGAATGAGATGCATCGTGTCACGAATGAAATCAACCAAGTAGAAGTTTAGGGACAGGTTGCATCAAATCCTACAATGTCTACTCCACAACTGAGTAGCATCACTGGAATATCTTGAATGTCGATAATGAGGGTGCTGAAACTGAACAAATTTCATGATGAATCTTCAACAATCATTGAATGAGAATGACTTCGATGAACGATCTGAATTTTGCGAAAATATAACGACAATGATACAGAGGAACCCCGAATTCATCAAGCATATTTGCTTCAGTGACGAGTGTTCATTTTATTCGAACGGTTCAGTCAACAGACACAAGTGTCAGTATTGGGGTCAGAATAACCTCTATCTACTGAGAGAAGAGCACACACAATGGCTCCAAAAATTGGATGTGTGGGCAGGGATTTCGGGTAATCAAATCATTGGCTCAATATCCATCCAGGGTGATTTGAATGGTATGGTCTATTTGGATATGCTGTGAAATATAATCAGACAACTTATTATGGATGATGTTAAGACGGACCTCGATTATCATGATAATCCAAATCTATCGGCAGAAAACATTCTTTTTCAACAACTTCATTTCGAATTACAGGTGAGAGAATGGCTATTCCAAAAATTTTTAGATAATTGAATAGGTCGTGAGGACCAATAGAATGGCCAGCACGCTAGACTGACTTGGCACTCATTGATTTCTTCCTATAGGGTCATTTGAAAATAAGAACCGAATGCCAGACAATATCAAGAGAAACATCCTCAAACGTACAGGAGGAATTTCCAAATAGACTCTATACCACTGTATGGGAGTCAATGAAGGTCATGTTGAACAGCTTTCGTGAACACCTGTTCGATGATCTATCATTCACATCCATTAACTCACTATTGAAAAACATATAATTTGGAATCGAATATCTCAGGAACGACTTGTTGTAATTCAAAGACCTTTCCACTGCTAGTTTCAAAATCAAATTACCTTCGCGAATATGTATAACACGACCCTCATTCCCTATTCAAATTATTGAGGGGGTTGTTTTAGGAAGTAAAGGGTTGAATTATGTATTATTTCGCGTCAGAAAGTGTCCCCCTCCATATGAAAATCGACCTGTTTCGTCATTTCTGTGTAAAATAATAATTCTGGGAGATATCGAGGGTGGAAAGTCTTGAATGGATCACCCGGTTATATCGATAAAAGAAATATCGGATGATTATTTCTGTACTATAGCTGAAAAAACTATACAATCTCTTCCGCAATTAGGACTCGATGAGGAATACGATTTTAAAAAATTTCCTTCTCCTGTAGGGACCTTTTCTTCAGAAGCTGTCTGTCAACATGAAGTTAACATTGCAATCATTGAATGAATTCTAGTTCTCGAGACATCCACGGTTTCAATAGCTACCTGATTAAAGGATTAGTAGATCAAATCCTCAAACCATTAACAGATCTGACAAACCTGATTTTCAGCGAAGGTATTTTTCCTGATGCACTAAAAATATCCAGAGTCATTCCAATTTTCAAAAAGGGTGATAAGTCATCTATGGACAATTATCGACCAATCAGCATCATTTTCATCATTGAGGAAATTATCGAAATACTTTTGAAAGATCGTCTCTATTCTTATTTTGAAAATAGATTCTATTTCAGTGAATCACAATATGGCTTTCGCAAGAATAAATCTACCACTCAGGCTGCTTTCAGCATAGTAGGTGACATAGTTCAGGGCCTTGATCATGGCAGACATACTTCATTAACATTATGTGACCTGACAAAGGCCTTTGACTGTGAATCACATGAGATACTCATTCAAAAATTAAGTCACTACGGATTGAGAGGGAAAGTTTTAGATCTCATTATTTCTTACCTCAACAGTAGATATCAATGTGTTGATTCAAACAATGCCAAATCAGAACTCAAACAACTCAAACATGGTGTACCTCAGGGTTCCGTTCTGGGACCGTTTCTGTTTCACGTATATATAAACGACCTATGTCAGTCTATTGCACCTATAAAATGCATCCTATTTGCGGATGACACGACTCTAATATGCACCAATAACATACATGCCACCTTAACTCAAACTGCTGGTTACGCAGAAAATATGACTAAAAGCTGGTTCACCCAAAACAAACTCGAATTGAATGAGAAGAAGACTCAAAACTTGATAGTCTCCTATAATCCTCTTTATCAAAATGGACAGAAGGTATCTTTTTTGGGTATTATAATCGATGATCGTTTAAATTGGTCCTGTCATGTAGAATATGTGCTTTCTAGGCTATCAAAAGTTCTATTTGAAATGAGACAACTCAAACCAATTACTAATATTAATATACTGGAAGTAGCTTATTTCTCCTTATTCCATCCGGTTATATCCTATGGCATCCTTCTCTGGGGTAACTCTAGCAATGCCATCACGGTTTTTCGATCGCAGAAAAAAGCGATAAGAATAATGGCAAATCTTGGATACAGAGATCATTGTCAACCATATTTTATTCAACTTGATATTATGCCTCTCCCTACCCTATATATATTCACTGTTCTGCTGGAAATACACAGTACCTTGAACAAGTTTCACAAACACTCCGACATACACAATTACAACACTAGATCTGCAGATTCGCTAAATCTTCAACGACACCGACTAGCTGTCAGCCAACAGAATTCTTCGAATCTCAATTTATACAATGTTCTTGATAGTTCAGTTGCATTATTGGAATTGAAAAAATCAAAGATAACTGTCGTAAAGTTTCTTGTTGAGAACTGTTTTTACAATATACCAGAATACCTCCGTATAGCACTGTCGGTCACTGTTGAATATTTAATTTTGTTTATCCATATATATATATATTTATTTTTTATCTGTATAACTTTTAATTATCAACTATTCTCGTAATGCATTCACTGTTTACTTTTAAGATTTATGTGAAACATTCATAAAAAATTTTAATGCAATTTTATTACATTTGAGTGTCGATATTTCAACTTGTTGTGAAAATAGTCCCTACTGTACTTCTCTGACCTGCCACAAACTTATCTGTATAATGTAACATGGTTAAATAAACTACTCTACTCTATTCTCTACTCTACTCTAGTCCGCAATTGATGCATTCGTCTCTGGCACTTACCATTCAAGATATGCACTCGAACGCTGGCAGCGTTCGTCTTGGACTGCGCACAAGCGTACAGTCCGGAGTCGGCCCGATCAGCATTCTGGATCAGCAGCCTGCTGGTGGTTATGGAACCTTTTTCGGTGACTAGACTGATACCTCCCCTAGGCGAATCAAAGTCAATCGCCTCGCCGTTCCGCGACCAGATGATGTTGGGGTGGATCTCGGCGGAAAAGAGAACTGTGCAGGTCAGGTTGATTGTCGAGCCCATGTTGATGAATAGCTCCGGGCTGCCGATGATCTTAGTGATTGGCTCTGGAAGGATTGGAGAAGTTGGAGAGTTGTAACTTATCAGAAAATCGAGCGTGAAATAAATTTTTGACAAAGTCTAGTAGAATTGAATGGCGCGTTTTTATTAGGTATTTGTTGAAAATCCCAACAAAATCCTACACGACATACCTATTTTTCAGACCACAATGATTGGATTTGAGAGAACTGTCGATGATATGGGTGATCAGCTTTGAACAAATTGGAAAAGCGCAGATACGGCCTGTTCTAGAATACTGTTCCCACATATGGGGTTCAGCACCAAAACATACACTGATGCTCTTAGATTCCATCCAGAGAAGAGCCATTCGCCTGGTGGGTGACGCCACACTCACTCACTCTTTGACATCATTGGAACATCGTAGAAAGGTCGGCGACCTTTCACTTTTCTATCGATACGTCCACGGGAAATGTTCTTCGGAAATCTCTGCTATCATCCCTTCACTAGCAATACCAATCAGACGAACTAGACAAGCCCAGTCAGCACATCCTTTCGTTGTCAACCTCGAAAGATGTCGAACAGCACTTTATCAAGACTCCTTCATCCATAGAACGGCTAGGCTCTGGAATTCATTGCCTGTGGAAGTATTCCCAACAACATATAATCTACAAAAGTTCAAAAGAAATTCCAATACCTACCTCCTGTCCCTATCCTCCCAAGGAACGCACGATGTTCTTTGAACATTATAGGGATTCCCTTTCGTGCGCTCCAAGCGATAAAAAAAAAAAAAAAAAAAAAAAAAAAAGATTGTCGAGCCTCTGGGCTTCAATTGATCTTGGAGATTCACTTTGAAGAACTTGGAAAAGCTATAGAGTTGTAACACATCAGATAATTGAGCGAGCATTTGATTTCTAAAGTTTCTGAAATCGAATGCCGCGTATACAGGGTGTTGCGAAATTCGACCGACAACGCTTGACAGATGATAGCCTTCGTGATTTCATTGTCACTGAGATAGGGACATAGGGTCTCCAAGTGTTCAGTTCTCGAGATACAGGGCGTTGAAGTTAAAAAATAAAAATAGTTGTTTCGCAATATCTCAAGAAAAATTGAACACAATAAATTCAAATTCGGTATATGGTTTCACCTTTCAATGGTTAATTTTTTGACCAGAAAGACATTTCGTGAATTTCATCCAGAGGTGTGCTACAGAGGGTTGTGATAACTTTTTCTCTTATATTTTCTACGCCACTGATGAAATTTCGATTATCTCCAATTTCTCGAATTGATTGTTCAATTATGTTGAAAAAATGCATCACCTTCAACTGAGCTAAAATGATCAGTTATCGAGATATTCGACCAAAAATAGAAGTTTGCATAGTAATTTTTCATCTTCCTCAGTAGTAGAAGATTACAAAAATTGTTGTTTTTTCTTTATGCGTGGAATAACTATTTCTGTTCAGCTACAGAATGAGATCTGAATAGTATCTAATCTACTCAACACCAGAAAAATATTTTTGCAATTTTCTACTACTGAAAATGATGAAATATTACCGAATATAACTATGCAATCTTCGATTTTGGGTCGAATATCTCGAACACTGTTCATTTCAGCTCAGTTGGAGGTGATGCATGTTTTGAACAAAATTGAACATCGAATTCGGGGAATTGAAAATAATCGAAATTTAATCAGTGGCGTAGATAATATGGGAGGAAAAGTTGCCACAACCCCCTGTAGGGCACCACTGGATAAAATGTCCGGAATGGCTTCCTGGTCAAAAAATGACCCATTCAAAGATGAAACCATATACCGAAGTTGAATGCATTATATTCAATTTTTCTTGACATATTGCGGAATAACTATTATTATTTCTTAACTTCAACGCCCTGTATCTCGAGAACTGAACACTTGAAGACCGTATGTCCCCATCTCAGTGATTATGAAATCACGAGGGCTATCACCTGTCAAGCGTTGTCGGTCGAATTTCGCAACACCCTGTATATCACGTATTCCTAGAAGATCTTAATGAAATCCTACGACATATTTATCAGACCACAATGATGAAATCCAAAAGAACTGCCGATGATATTAGTAAAGAGCTCCAAATGAATTGAAAAAGTTGTACAGTTGAGACTCGCCAGAAAGTTGATCATGCAAGTTATTCCCATTGATTGCTGTGTCCAGACAATGATGTCAGAATTCGCGTGAGGATGAGATGATTTCTATACCTGGTGTCGAGTTATCCATTAGACGAGCCATAATTTCTGAGATTATGGGTGTATCAAAATGAGAGTACTCTGCACCACAACAGGAAGCAAATTGGCGCTTTGTGAGGCCGAATACCATATCCAAATCGACTACGTTTTGTTTGTTCATGTAACTGTGCAAGTCAGGTTTATTGTAGAGTCTATGTTGATAAATAGTTTTGGGCTGCCAATGATCAAAATTGGCTCTGGAAGAATCAGAAAAGTTTGAGAATTGTAACTCAACGAAAATTGAGCGTGAAATTGATCTTCGACAGTTTTTTGGATTGAATGACGCGTTCATATGAGGTATTTCTGAAAGATGTCAACGAATCTATTAGACAAGAGAAGGAAAATTGGCTTTAGGTAAAGCTGCTCAATTTCTGATCTATTGAAGTATTCGTGATGCTGATAAGATGTCTATACTATCAACGCTGTGAGTTCGATAGCTTGTATTATACAGTATCTTGAAATTTGTGTTTTGGATGCAATAACCAAATAGGATACGTTCTGTTTATTGATGTGTCTGTGTAGGTCAGGTTGATTGTCGAACCTAAACTGATGAAATAGGTATGGGCTGCCAATGATCTCGGTGATTGGCTCTGGAAGAATTGGACAAGTTAGAAAGTTGAACCTCATCAGAAAATTGAGCGCGGAATTGATTTTCGACAGTTCCTCAAATTGAATGGCGCGTTTGTATAATGTATTCCTAGAAGATCTCGACAGAATTCCACATCATATTCTCCAGATCTCAACGATTGAATTCAAGAAAACTGCCAATATTATTGGTGATCATGTTAAAAAAAAAAATTGCACAATTGTGTGTCGTCAGCGAGTGAATCATGGAACCTATTTTTATTGATTGGTGTGTTCAGACAACAATTTTGGAAGTCGCGTGAGGATTAAATGGACAAGTCATAATTTCTGAGATATTGAGTACAAGAATGAATGGATCACGCACTGAAACAGGGCAGAAATAGTTCGAATACATTTTTCTTTAAATGAATCACTCTGTTTATTCTCAACAGTTGTGAAAGATATATGTCATCTGTTCATGAATATGAATTTAGTTTTTTTTTATGTTCCCTAGAGCTTATTTCATGCAATATTCTTGCAATTTAATATCACTATCCCGTAGTTTTCTTCCTCGAAATAACTTATTCCCATTGAATAACTAACAGAGGAATGAAAAAATACCTGTTTTATTTCGATTGAATTTTTGTTATGTTCACAGCAATCTATGAATGATATTGGCAGCTTTCGATCAATGCTGAATAAGTAGAACATGACTTGAGGAAACATTTGCAAACTATACAGTGTGAGTCAAATTCGATCCTCACCATTGGGATCTCAGTAACTATGAAAGTTGAAGCACGAATTTTTCAGCAAATTCAATCATGATTCAGAATCCGCCAAGAAATCTAGTTGAGCTTCAGTTATTCTTGAGTTATTCAGAAGAAACTGAAACAACCCTAGAAAAAAACGAAAGAACAAACCTGACTTCACTTATGACATTGTAGCGTTTAAATTTGCAGATTATAGATTTTTCATTTTGCTTCCATGAAATCCTAAGTGGACTTTCAAATAATATCATCATCGAGAAAGCATACTCACAGAGAGAGCATTGAGTTAGAAGATCAATGAACATCTTCCACAAGATGAAACATTTATTGATTGGTAAAACACTCATACACAGTTTTCTAAGATCATTTCACCAGATATCACAATTCTTCATACGTTCAGTACACCTGTAGGAAGTGATGAAAGCCTCGAGCTGTGCTGATCCAAATAAACAGGTTCTGAAAATGGAGAAAGTAAATCAGTATTCTATATTTTCATCTGAGTCCTATGCTTGTCTGATTCAATAATTGTTGCTAATGGAAAGCTGTTGACTTACCTGTAGTGTTCTCCAGAGGTGATGAGATGAACAATTGATTGTTCATTTTTAGGATTATTTGAGTATAATAATCATGAAATCCAGAAGCATAGAAAATATGACAGTGAAGCTGAAGACATCAGAGCTAGCTTCACTCCATTGATTCGTTCTGCTGAAGGTGTACCAAACACCAGGAATATGCCGTTTTTCAGAAACGTTCAGCAGATACATTATCACGAAAATGGAAGTAGCCTTTTGTTTCAAAAACAATGGGGTGGATTCGCATACAAGGGCAAATGTCCATAATCAGAGACGTGTCTCTGTGATTGAGAGGTACACGACGGCATATAATATATCCACCATATGAAGAAGGAGCAGCTTCACCTGTTTCATTCCATAATCAAATTTGTTCATCCCCTTTGAAATATAATCACTTCTACTTATATCTCAACATACTATTTTATTGGTATCTATGTTGAAATATCCTCACATCCTGAAAATTATGAGATTATAATTAACTCCAATAGATGATGAAATGACCTAAATAAATCGATTTGTTCAAAACAAAAATTGTTTTTTCCTCAGTGCAATTCATTACCTTTTTCTATGACTGTTAAAAACTAGACCCTTTTAATGTAACATTTTTGTTGGGTAACTGGATGCATTATACAAAACAAGCCACGCCCCGTGTGCAAGAGCCTTTACACAACAGGCTATGGCCAATCAGCAACAAAGCAGATTCATTACCTACAAAACAGTTGGCACCAGTTGTAATGATAATATGGGGCATGCAGTGAAACGTTTGTATCAGACTCGTCATGAAATGTCATAATTTGACAATAGCTATCGTCGAATAATATACCATTCCGCTATATTCGAATCACGAACTTTACGTTATAGGAGTTGCTTGGTTGTTGCTATGATACTTGT